CCCATAGGAGGAAAATGAAAAATGTTTTATGGTAGAAAAACTCACGGAGAAGGAGATGTGTCAGTCTAACTTGTCAGGCTGTATATATATTAAATTTTGAAGGATTTGAAACTTAAAATACGGCCAAAATACAAAAGGCAATCTTTATTTATGAACCTAGTAAATTTCGCCCAGCCGACAGAATTTTAGTGATATAAGTCACTGTGATTAGATATGGCCACTACGAGCTACACGAAAACGTTCCATGAACTTAATGTTAAACTTGAGAAAATTTGCAGTAAAACGTAGCAGTAAGGAATTAAAATTAAGATAAAATTTAAAATATTTCTGCAACTATTTTGGTTCTTAAATTCTGTTTAAAAAATTTTAAATTACTGAAAATTTTGTTTGTTTGAACTTCAGATAATTTTAGCAAACACTTACTTATGTAACGTGCATTTTTATTTTAAAATTATAAGAATTATTTACAAATCTGCATTTAAATATTTTATTCTTAATCAATTTCTTAATTCAGTAATGCTTAAAAGAAACAAAGAACAGATGAATTTAACAGTAAAATCCACTGAAAATAAAATAAAAATAAATGCTATATGAAACAAACTCTAAAAATACAAGAAAACAGAAAACTTTTTGGTGTCTCGTACTTCGAAGTTAATTCATTCCAGTTCGAAGTCCGAATCAATTTTTTTCATTAGAAATTATGGAAAGCGAATTAATCCATTCCCACATCTTAAACAATACCCATTTTGATTAATTTAAAACAGCAAATACACATAATTTAAGGTAAAAACAATACAATTAAATATTTTAACATATATACAATATATACAGTACTGCCTCATACTTTGAATTTAATCCATTCCAGGAGGCTATTCAAACTCTGAATTGTTGAAAATCCAAATCAATTTTTTTCATTAGAAATAATGGAAAGTGAATTAATCCATTCCCAGACACTAAACAATACCCATTTCAATAAACTTAAACAGCAAATACACATAATTTAAGATAAAAATAACACAATGATTTAATAATATATTAAAACATAAAAAAAAACANTGTATGCAGTTTACGGACTACGGCTGTTTGAAAGGTTTCTTCCATAAAATTGATCAATTCTAGACTAATTCGACTCAACATTTCCAAAACACCTATAATTTTTTGGGAATAATACATATAAACTATGCTATAAACAAAAAATTGTAGGGTTACTTACCGAGTGTGCACAGTTCGACTACGCCATTGCTTAAGCTTGTTTTCGTCGCGGAGATGGCCACCGGATGGCGCTCGCGTGCTTCCTGATAAATTATATTTTTTTCGAAAAATTCTCTGAACTTTAGAGACATCATTAATCTATATCAATATCTATATCTATACTACTATATAGACAACGTATTTTTCGTTTGTGACCACTAACCGTGAAAACTACTGAACCAATCGTTACCAAATTTTAACTGTAGCATCTTTATGACTCCCCGGAATGTTTACCACTAATCAAACTTGCAGATTTTTTATTAATTAAATAAAACTACAATGGATATCATCTAGGGTTAAGGCTTTTATGTCCAACAGATGGCGCTACGAGTATGACGCCCTAAGTTTGCTTTTCTGTGAGGATGAACTAAAGCAGATCATCTATCTATCTATATCAGGGGTGGCCAAACCGTGGCGCATGCGCCAAACTTGGCGCATTGGACGATTACAAGTGGCGCTTTAGTCAGTTCTGAGCAACATTGCCAGATTTGGCTTCTTTGCAATTAAGAATATTACATAGAAAATTAATTTTTTATAGTCTGTCTTGGCAAGTTCATTTGTTGCACAATTCGTTGCAATCAACTTTACAGATAAAATGAGTGTTCTCCACATAGTAAATTACAGTGTATGCATGTATGTTTATTTTCGATCAGTGCATAGGCGTCTAAATGACAGTGCTACCGTCCGGACAGTCCACGAGTCGGTTGGACTGCTACACCTGTTGACCTTTTTTTTTTTTTTTTTTTTTCTTTTTTTTTTTTCTTCTACGATTCACGATACATTCGCAATCGTGTATGCCACTAATGTCAAATGGGACTATTTTGTACGGGTAACTACACCACCACCGCATTTTTTATTAATTTTTTTTTCACACAACTGAATTTTGATCTTTTAAATTGAAATAACTGATTAAAGGGTGGCCGAAATTTTTCTCCGCCCCGGGCGGCTAACACCCACGGTACGCCACTGCGCATCTGAACTCGTCTATCAAAAAATTGGCGCATGGTATGCAAAAGGTTGGCCACCCCTGATCTATATAAATAAAAATGTAATGTTCGTTTGTTCCTATCAATTCCTTTGAAATTTTCACACAACGCTGCATTGGTATACGCACGTGTTTTTATATAATATAGGCCTACATGTCAAAATTCCCCCCACTGGGGGAGATGAACAGGATTAAGGCTTACCTTGAAGAACTTGGCTTGTATTATACTATTTTAGATGCGGGTTTTTGCGTTTTTGATTGCGTTTTAATAGGGTACGCCAAGAGAATGTACACTAAGAAGAAATTTTTCGAAAAATTCCCTCCCACACGGGGAAGTGTTATACGTTTATAATAGATACATTTTGAGCCACAACAACGCGTGGCGGGTCTGCTAGTATAAATATAATTTTTATGGACGTTAAACAATAAATGATTTTTGGTAGATTCGCTTCTCGTTTAAACTCAACAGTTAGTGCAATCCTGTCGCGACACGTGTCGGCGATGACGTTTTACCGAATTATAGGAGTTTTTTTCGCTGTTTGTACGGATACTGTCGCAATTTTTTCGTCGTGATATAGGAATCCGAACTATAGGAACTCGTGTTATAGGAGGGTCTACTGTACATATGTAATTTCATTGTATTGCAGACATCACAAAAGTAAATTAACAATAAAATAAAGATTGCAGCAGTTTAAACAAAGTTTGTTTCATATTTCATTTTTCAGTTTTCAAAGCTTTGTTCAGATTTTACCATTTTACTCCATTAAACAATTACCAACTTAGTAACAACTGAATAGTGGCTGAGAAACAACAGGCTCCCGGTTTGTTTTCTTCCTCAACCTCTAATTTTTAAGAAGGAATTACTGACGTTAAGCAGAAGATGTTTGTGTATTATTATATCTTTATGTAATTTTTTTAAATATATATAGGCCTATAAGGGTGGTAACAAAAGTCTCCGGCCAATCATTTCAAAAAACTATATTACAATAGCAGTTAGTGTATACCTTTTGCCGATGCTTATTACTTCAGGCATGTGCTAGAGTGCAAGGCGATTATGAAAATTTTCGCTCCTTCTGTTATCGAAGAGAGTTGTTTGAATCTCAACCCCTAATGAAAATAAGGCAACATTATCAATTACATAGTTGTAGCACATGAAAGATATCAACTATTACTTTTTAGCGCATTCCTGAATACTGTATTAAGTGGGATCCCGGAACAGGCTGTTAAGTGTGACAGGTAAATATATACCGAACAACACGCAAGAGCTAGTTGTGTATCACTGTAGAACACGAATGCAATGTGACAGCGGTTAAATGTGCAGTTAGGCTTAGGTTAGCAGAGATATGGATATCGAAATGATCTGATTTAATAGCGAATATCAAATGCCGAGAAATATTCAATAAAACACACACAAAAAAAAATGCTGCACATGTTTCCACAAGATGTTTATCGCATACTCCAAATAAATGTTTTCCACAACAACTTTTGCTTTTTCCAACAACTTTTTGCACGGCTGTCAATATGTCGATTATAGCAGGGCATGAACCAAAATGAGTTATTGCACATCACTCACATTTAATGGTTGTGTTCTATAAACCTTTGACTTCGTTTATTCTTTCTGTGTTGCGGGCAATTAGAGGTCATTTTTGCAGACCCACGATAAAGAGCTGATTAATGAGTCCCAAATATCCGAGACAAACACTAATGAAAATTTCGTCGACTTTTTAGATCCGTCCGCATCCGTTTCCAGTTGAGTTAGTAGTTAAGATCTCCAGAGCTTACCGCATTGGAGAGACCACAACTACTTACTTCAGCCGCTTGATCATTCGCTCCTCATAACACCTTTCACACCAGAAAACCCCATATAAAAAATTCATAAGATAATCTCTGAGAAGCTTAGCGGCCGTTCAGTAGTCTATTCCAATCTGCTCACTGCTGCATGATATTGAATTGACACTCAACCAATCTCGTACTGTTTGATGTGCGGTGATGCAGTGATATGACAGGTAAATGTTACACTGTACTGTACAACACAAGGGTGTAGCTGTTCGTGTTGTAGTGTAGCATTTGCGTGTGATATTTGATATGCTGTTCCCACTTGATATTTTGGAATGTGCTAAAAGATAATAGTATATATTTTTTATGTTTTACAGCTTTTTAATTGGCAATATTGCGCTATTTTAATTAGAGACCGAACTAACAACAGCCGTGTCCGGTAGAGGAACTACAAAGAGCGGAATTTTGCAGTATACTGTAGTTTAGTGTATGCCTGAAATAGTATAAGGTGAAAGATGTACAGCAATTGTCTTATTAGTTTTTAAAATAATTGGCCATAAAGAGAGACTTTTCTTATTATCTTTAATATAACTAAATATCATTATACTGTTTATACTTGTTAACTTTATATATAGTTTATTATAGTATATACTGTATATAAATAATATTTGTCTTTTACTAANACCCCGGAACAGGCTGTTAAGTGTGACAGGTAAATATATACCGAACAACACTCAAGGGGTAGTTGTGTATCACTGTAGAACACAAATGCAATGTGACAGCGGTTAAATGTGCAGTTAGGCTTAGGTTAGCAGTTGATTAGTTAGCAGTTTATTAGTTAGTAGTTTATTAACTCATCTGGAATATGCAAAATATAATTTGAAATTTTATTAATAATGTAAACTATTATTTTTATATGTGGTTTTTTCTGTATATAAGATTAAAAATATAACTACGAACCGTGCAAAAAAAATATAGGTAACAAGAAGTATAAATACGAATCTAGAATGAAGAAGAATTGAACGAATTAAATCAATAGAGATCGTTTCTCCTCAGTAAGTAAAGTAAGGAGAAAAAAGGAGAAGTAAGGAGAAAAAAGGAGAAGTAATGCTGAGTAATTAAGTAAATGAGGTAGCTAATGAAAGCCCAAAGAAAACTTTTGTTTCCATCTATCAAAACAGTATAGATAAAAACAATGAATGAGGAAATATATTATTATTCTGAAGAAACTTCTGCTTCCGATCCCTTAAAGTAGTTATTAATTGAAAAATTTATATCAGGAGTACCTCTTGAAATACCCGAATTACTCAGTACAGCTGAAGCAGATAAAAACGTATAATGTAGAAAACGAAAACAGAATAACGAGAAGAAATATATATATATTTGAAGTTAAAACCCTCAGAACGTTAAATTTTTTCCAAAAACAATTGTTCAATTGCTCGAGGAAATCATCGAAGAATCATCTTTAAAATGCATCATTACTGGTGATGAAACATGTATCTATGCTTTTGATACCGAAACAGTTCAGCAGTCGAGTGAATGCCGCTTGAAAGTTAAAGCGACTCCGAAAATTCCATGTCAAGTAATTTTCTGCCAGTTTTGAACGGGTTTCACGAAAACGACTTTAAAAAGTGTTTCGAAGATTAAAAAGAACGTTGGCATAAATGCATTACAGTAGGAGGAATTACTTTGAAGGAAACGAAATAAATTTTGATGAATAAATTTAAATCTTGCGCTTTCTTGAACCATTTCCGATGCTTTTCGATCAGACGGATGCACTGGCCCATTAGCAGTGAGTTCGGGCCTAACCAACGGACTATCAGCGCGGAGTTTTCCGGGTGTTCTTCATGTATCTAGAACCTAAAGAGAGGCCAGAATCCCATAGACCATCTTCCCGAGAGGCCGACTCATTTATTGGCCTTATCGGAATCACGACGGATTCTGTAGACTTAGCGTGGATCCGACCAGCTTAGTGCCTGTAGAAGGCAAATACTCAGAAATTAGAAAACAAAATACATAAAGATACAATTTAGAAATGTATTTAATAATACCCGCAACGTCTCCCTAAATGCAATTTTACAATGTGATGAGGAAGAATACCTTCTCCGTTTGTAGTACCAAATGTGGTTAACTTTAAACGATATCTGAAATACAAATAAATATTCATTAGTTAAAATAACACCAAAACTTATAATTAACAATTTTTTTTTTATAAATTATTACTAATATATAATAATATAAAATGGAACTTACGTTTGTAGATTATTCATGGGTACTATTTTCACGCACTGAATATACAATTTATTATCCTTACGAGGTAGCACACTATACCAAAATACTTTAAGATTTGTTATTGGCTCCAGATCGTGAGTAGTTGTTATTAAATAGGTATAAGTCGCTCCGGGTTTAAATATACTTTTCACATATTGAATATATAAGCTGTGAATTATGTTTTACAGTAAACTTGAATTTTATAAAATGGCTAAACGAAGCTATTATGAATAATTAAAGCAATTTACTTACTCTTTATCCAAGATTTTAATTATTTTGGAATTAATAATCAACACTAATTTTCCTACTTCAATAGTGCTATCTGCAGTAAAACGGAAAGTCACTTCCACGTGGTACTGATATACTGAAAATCAATTACAAGTTGAAACAATTAATTAAACATGTTATCGAATATTAATTAAATATTAATTTTGACTCACAGAAATATCCGTCGGTAAATGTTGTCGCCGCATACATCGTTACAGTGCCGTTTATTATTTTATTTGCGTATTTTTCGGCGTGAATCCCAATTGCCGCACAATTTCTTCCATCTGTCCCGCATTCGCTACATTTTCCTTTCTTAAAAGTTTCATAATCCTTGCATTTATAAGCCACGGGAAGAAACTCGGGATGATAAAGAGTGGATGCAAACAGGTAGAATCCTCGCGTATGAGAACAAAAAAATGACCGGAGAATTGCCGAATATAATCCAACGAATATACCCTTGATAAAACTCGTATCTGTCATAAAGTACAGAATTTTTAAACACAAATAGTTGTAAAATTTATAAGCCACGGGAAGAAACTCGGGATGATAAAGAGTGGATGCAAACAGGTAGAATCCTCGCATATGAGAACAAAAAAATGACCGGAGAATTGCCGAATATAATCCAACGAATATACCCTTGATAAAACTCGTATCTGTCATAAAGTACAGAATTTTTAAACACAAATAGTTGTAAAATTTAAAATATTAGTTAATTATATAAATAAATAAGTAAAATAATAAAACTGTACTCAAATCAAAGTTGGCAACGTTGTCTTTACATCCCCTTCCTACTAGACCTCCGTCAATCATGAAATGCAAATGTCCAGTCGGTTTTCCGGTAATAAGTTGACCTATATATTTATATTTTCATATGTAAACGTTAATAAAAATATAAAATATCTGATATCTGCATAATACCACTAACTTGCACTTGTTGTGGAAATGACGTCTACGAACTTTGCATCGGAATAGTGAAGCTTGTGTCTCGGTGATAAACTTGAAAAACAAGCGCCAATAACATCTAAACCTGTAGACAGTATATATAATATAAACGATTGAAATTTAACTGTTTTGTGTTATTAAATTATTACCTGTAATTCTTCCAATTTTTCCCGTTTTTATGTACTTTCCAATAAAACCTACTAATTGACCACTGAGACTAAATCCAATGATGTGGAATTTGTTAAAATCGAGATTTATAGATTTCTTTTATGTAGAAATAAATATAAAATTTGAAAAATTAAATACATGTATATAAATTTTATTAGAGTAATAATAATATCTCACTTTCCATCTTTCTAGTTGTTCGGCGATAAATTTGCCTTCTACAAGAGTTATTCTCATAGCTTTTGGAAAAGTAAGGGATAAGGCTCCTATTTTCCAATCCACTATAATGACATTGCAATCTTCGTAATGTAGAAAAGCTGTTTTCAAAAACTAAATAATATTTAGATTGATAGTACTATAGAAACAAAATATAACTTAGTTTGTAGATGGTTTATATATGTAAATATACTTACATTAACGTCTTCGCTTGTAGGGTTTTCTAGAAATCCATGTACAATCATAATTGTTTTTAATTTTGGATTAAAATGTGAAGTATAAAAACTGTTTTTATCTGTCAAATAATTAGGGTATGAAGGATTTTTTCTTGTGTATAGGAGGAAATATGTTGGAGGAACTGGAGTAATTTTGGCCTTGGCAAAAACAATGTGCTCGAAAAATGGAGGACAGGGTATATCCGCGATTGATTCTGTAAGCGTCAGATAAAATTTAATTCGAAAGTTTAAAAATTGCATTATGATCTTAAAAGTACAGTTAAATTTTATAAGAATATTCTTATGAAAACAATAATTCAAAAACATTCAGGATCTAGTCACGGCTTTTTTCCTTGTCATAAATAAAATCAGAGGTTCTGAAGAGTCATTGTCTATACGCAGTGGCAGTTACAAGGGGATAACATTGACACAAAAATGTTATTAAAATTTATTTGTTTTTCTCTTATGACCCAGGGGAAACCAGACCTCGTGGACGTACCAAGAAACGATGGCTTGGTCGAATCGCAGAAGATGTGGAAACAATTATAATTTTACCAAATGATTCGCTAGTCGAGTAAAAGGGAATATTGCATGTAAACACGAAGACCAACAATGCAGGACCAATCCTAGGAAAAAAGATTAATAACAATAATAATACCATATTAAGAATTAGATATTTGGCTGTTTATAACTGTACATATTTTCTTTCCTTTTGTTAAAACCGTGTGTTTATTTTTAATGTCTATTTTATTTCACAACGAAGTGACGATTTAAGACCCCAGACTCGAGATATTCACTTTATTCAATATAGTATATTCTATAGATTTCTTTGCAATGTTCGTTTCGGGTTTTTATCCCTCTTCTGTTGGCATGATGCATAGCGTACATATGGATGCCCGTAGAATATTTTCTAGAGGCAAATAATTAACCTACATTAATAAATCTTATTTAATTAAGTTTTTTCACAAGTAGATTATAGAATAGAGTTGATATTCCATGGTGTTAAGTGTTAGGTTATAAATCTCAATCACTTTTACGATTATAATTTGTGGAATTTTTATTCAATTCCAAAGAGGGGTAGTGCTTCATCTGTTCCTTTCTGCAAACACCCTTGGCTTACAAATCATTTGATTTCTGTTTTTTACACTAAAAACGATCTTCAGTTTGATTTTCAGGATAGAGATGAGTTTTTAAAACATTGTAAATGTTAATAACGAGTAAATTTTCATTAAGTCCGACCCTACCCGAGATAGGGCACATGAACTTCTCCATCTCCTCATCCTCTCGAGTTCTGTACTGCAAAATGTAATAGCATTAATTTACCTTATACACAAGAACCAGACCAAATTTCGTATCTTAGTCTATAACTTATCCTGAGATATTAAACGAAATAGAACCTAACACACACACACACACACACACATGCGCATATTCCGAAAATCAGTAAATTTGACTATCCGAGTTTTATGCAAATCTTCATGTTTCTGAACTGAAAAATGTCAGAAAATGGAAAAAATTCCGTAGATATATATGTACGCATTTGCGTGTGTGTATGTTGGAGTCTATTTCGTTTAATATTTAAGATTAAGAGACGAAATTTGGCATGTTAGTGTATAAGGGGCATTGATGCTATTTAATTTTAGTGGCTAAAGATCGAGGGTGGTAAAGAGATAAAGGGTCATGCGCTCTATCTTGAGAGGAGACAGACTTAATGAAGATTTTACTCGTTATTAACATTTACAAATTTTTTGTAAAACATCCCTAGACTCAAAATTTTTTGAGTAGAGATGAGTTATAAAAATTACCATTTTATAGTATTTAATAATGTAAAAGTTATTTTTAACAATATCTAATAACATGGTGCCGCCGACTATTTAAAGTTTGTGTTAATAATAAAAAAATCTGCAAACTCGTTGTTGGATTTCATTCATTTTTATAATGTTTATAATGCCCTTAAAAATAAGCGTTCATGTCGCCGCTGCATCACGAGGGGCAAACATAGATGAGAAAAATCGTCCCACAAACATAGTCAAAGGGACAGAACATAAAGTTCTGTCTCTTTGACTATGTTCTAACGATAAATTATACCTCACACTAATATACCTACATAAATTATACTTGTATAATTTTAAAACAATTTCGAAATAAAGGGGAAATTTGCGAGAATAATCGGCAAAGAAATTTAATTGGGAAAGATCCAAATCCCAGCCATATCTTGCCACTAAGGAATTGCCATAATTGAGAAGCAGACACAATGAGAATACCACTCACTCTTCTTAATTTTCTCTTCAAATTTTGACGACATCAAAATCAAATCCACGCTACGTGTTCACTTTCGAATGCATTTCAGCTATAATGTCAACAAGAGCTCTAAAGGGTACAAAGTTACTTGTGTCTGTTCGATATATTGCTATCTGAAAAAAATTATTACATAAATCATTCTGATCCGCAATTAGTCCCTGGTCCACAAACGGTGCCTTTACCTTACTTACTCATATATTATATATATTAGTAATGGGAAATACTTTTAGAATGCAAAATTTTCCATTATTCCAAATTTCCCACCTCTTTCCCTATATTTTCCACTTGACTAGAAAAGTTTCTATTTTAGCGAAAGACACCAATTCTGACAACACTTCAACACTTTCGCTCGGTGTTTGACTTGCTTTTGTTGTTCTGCTTTTGTTCGTTTTCAGATACAGTAGACCCCCTATAACGCGAAGATACGTTCCTCGTTATACGAATTTCGCGTTGTAGGGACCATTGGGCTGTGATACCTCACGTATTTGACACGTGTGAAGTTTACGGACTACGGCTGTTTGAAAAGTTTTCTTCCGTAAAATTAATCGATTCTAGACTAATTTCACTCAACATTTCCAAAGTACGTATATTTTTTTTGGAAGTAATCCGTATAAACTACGCTATAAACAAAAAATTGTAGGATTACTTACCGAGTGTGCACCGTTCGACATCGCCGTTGCTTAAACTTGTTTTTTGTCGCGGAACAGCGCAGCAAACCGCGGCCGCGATTTCTGATGTTATTTTTCTGCGAAAACTTCGTTGAACTTTGGAGACATCATTAATATAAATAATATTAATGGCCGTTGAATAAGAAATGTTTCTTTCACAAGAAATGTATAAAATTACAGTACTGTATTAGACTTACGATACCTAATTTACATACTGTACAGACGATACACGATAGTAAACTCAACTTACCAGCCTAAACTCTCTGTAGCGTGGCGCTGGCGGCGGAAAGTAGTTCGGCTGCTCGTCCGCGATGACGAGTTGGCGATGACATTTTACCACGTTTTACGCGTCTCTTTATACGAATACTGCCGCAATTTTTTCGCCGCATCATAGCAATCTACGTTATTGGAACCCGCGTTATAGGGAAGTCTACTGTATATAGTATATGTAAAGTGTCTGCTTATACTATATTGCAGTAATAGATGTGCATTATGATGTACTGTACGTAATCTATTATTGTTTAGGTTACATACTGTAGTAAAGATACGGTACACAGTGAAAGTTTATTGTGTATACACATAAGAAGGGATATTATTTACAATGTTTCTATATTTGTGAATAAAAACAAGCAATCATTATGAATCAAGATAATCCAGAAAATATTTAAGACTAAATAAATTCTGATTAGGCTATTATTTTTAATAAACAATCTTATTATGATATTTTTGAAGTTATTAATCTAAAAAATACATACCTTTATTTATAATTGACAAGAATACGTATAAAATAAATATAGTTAAGATCATAATCTGTAAATAGAATAAAATTATTTTAATTATTTTCCTAAAAATTTATATTTATTAATTTTAATGTATTAAATACGTGTATTATATTTCATTAGGATAATTCAAATATGTATTTTAAAAAGTAGGATATACTGTTTTTATTATTATTCATTAGTTTTACACTTTAACAGTTAAAATTTGAAGACACGTTGCAAATTTCAGCCTTGAATGACCAACCTTAGAGGTTCGACCTGTGTCGAAACCCCATAAGGAAAGCGTAGGTGCAAAAGGACCCAATATATAAACGTCCCGTCTACACTAGAAGTGATGTCAATTTAATTCAACTTTTTCCCCGGAATGGAGTTACATAGATGACCGGCATGACTTTCTTATTATCAGGAAAAGTATAATGTACAAGGGGCAAGATGCTAGAAATTTGAGATGAAGAACATATTTTAAATTGAATAAATTAACGCAGTAGTGAGCGAATAATGTCGATCGTCGATCAATCATCGATCGACTAAAAATTGCGTGTCAGTAAGGAAGAGCGAAGTGACTATCGAAATTTTACTTCGAAGTGTAAATAAAAATCTACATAAAAACAAAATTTACCTTAAATATGTCCTTATCTTGTATAAATGAATTACTCTAAAAGATTTCACGTTGTATTTACTCATCTAAATATTACAAGATTACTCGTCTAGAAAGTATTTTCGTTATATAAATATATTTTAAAACGCATTTCAAATAACTATGACGTAAAAACTTGTTCCTAATGTAAATCTATTTTAAATTTCTTTTTCAGTGTTCTCATTTCTTGAAAGCAGTATTGTTCTTTTACGTATAATCTAATGATAAGTTTGGTTATGGTGTTAAAATAAATTATTTTTTAAAATTTAAATTTATTAAGCATAGAAATATAAACAATTATCGGCGACTTGTTTCTGTAAGATGTTTATAAATTTATATTTTATTTGTAATTAGTTTGGTTTGTTGTTATACGACAACACAAAACACAAAGGCCATTTGCCAGGCCACACTGACCACGAATTATCCACATTTTGTGGATAATTGGTCACTATTTAAACGTTTTACACGTAAATAAAACCTGAATTGATAAAGAAACCGGAATAAGATGAAAAGATATTATATAATAATGCTAAAAGCATTCTTTTTCATGTTAATTACAACAATACAATAGAATCTAGTGATAAAGTCAATGTTTCTTTATTATAGTAATGCTTTATTTAAAAATATATAGCTTTAAAAAAAATACAAATTAAAATTTTTTAAAGCTATAATTAGCCTTCTCAGATATGATTTTTTAAATTTCATTTACTGTATTGTGAATTACAGCAGTTTCCTTAATGCTCCTTTTATATTTTTCCTGGAGTAATTAAAATTTAAAACTGTGTACTAAAATAGTGATTTTGACATAATTACAATAGACTTATATCTAATTTCTTTTTACTCTTTGTGT